CACTACAGCCCCTGATGAAGAGTCCCTCTCTGGCATCCAACACAAGAGTGCTATTTCTCATACAACAAAAAGCATGAGTATTCAAGGCAGTACAAGCAGGCAGAGAGATGGATACTTTCTCTTAGAATCAGCATGATCAGGCTGCACAGCATGTGCAAAGACTCAGTGACTGTGCAAGTGTCATCACTAGCAACCCACGGACTTGAACCCAATTTTACATTTTTGTGTCTGTTTCGGGGATTCCGTGGGTTCCTGCTTTTTGATCTCCAGTTAGTCTCACAAAGAGTTTTCCCTGTAGACAGGACAGGCAGGATGACAGAGGTCTGGGGGGGAGAGCTTATTGTTCTCATTGGGATCTTTTGAGGTGGCATAGGGAAAAGGATATTTAAGACGTGATAGGCGTGTAGGAGTCCACAGCTGCTTGCAACAAATACTACCTTTCCATCAGCAAGCCCTATTCAGCTCTCTAAGGAAAATTTCATTATCAGATCATGGTGTGTAATCTTTTAGGATTCTTTTCTTCGGAAGGAATTTTAATGAGACAGATTTCATTTTTTCTCTTGCTCTAGTCCTTCACCTTCTCAGTGCAACCATTATTCAGAAGTCTGTAAATACAGACATATGAGCATCTTGTTGAAAGCTGCTTACAAGAGTTCTTGAAATCAAATTTCACTGTGTACTTTACTCTCATTTGTATGGGAAATGGAATAGACCTTTTCCTTGTATTCAAACAAATTCACTTACAACTGGGATCCCCCTGGTTCTAAAGCTATGAAAATCTGATGTAGCTGCAGTATTTCTACAGTAGGAACAATTTTAACCTAGTTTTTATCCTGTCCCCTTACTGTTTCCTTGTTGAAATGATACCTTGTCAGTGATCTGAGGCATCAAGGCAAAAGGAGAGGACTGAACTGATCAATGCTCATTCCATCACCAAGTTTTAAGTCAGGTTTTGAGAAAGGTAAAATGGGTTGTCTTTCCAGAGAGACTCAGCTGTTACAGAAACACAACTTGATGGACAATTTTAACCCTGGCAATAGTCACAGAGAATGAATGGACTGTTGGAAAAGAAAATTACACCTGCTGGGAAGCTGGTGCACTGTTTGTTTCTGGTCCCATTAAGAGCATGCAAAAGTATCAGCTACCATCACATTATACTCATATCTATTTAAAAGTTTACATTTATATTATTAGCTATCAAGGGTCCTACAATTAAAAGCTTTAACTTCTCCATAAACCAGGCAGACTTCAGCTGAATAGTCACAAAAATCTTCTTCCCAAATTAATGGGCTTTTGATTTTACTTTTTTTTTTTTCTTAAAGGATCATCATTTGTTCTGATTTTGCTAACACTTTCATTTTCAGAAACATACTTTCAAGAAAGGTCCAGCATTAAAGGAATTCATGTTTAAAATATACTGACAAAACTATGTTCGAACACAGTCTGTTCTCCCGTGACAGGGCACAAGTCCTTCTATGCTAAAAATCACGTTATGAAAATACAATGAATCTTACTTGTATTATAACCCTGCTGCTACCAAACACATGCAAATGTTACAGTGACATGCCTGAAAGCATTCTGACTATTCACTAGGGAAACACTGCATTTGCAAAGTTGAATTAAGCAGGTTTGGACTCTTACAAAACAAAACAAAATAAAAGAAAAACCTAGAGCAATCAACAACGATTAGTAATGGTTCTGTTTTAACATCACCCGTGATATATGTCTGATTACACAAACCAGTGGAGACTATCAAAAAAAGTGCTGCCACACAATTTTTTCTTTATTTGGGAGGTGGGGGCATGGGGGTGGGGGAAGAAGAGAAAGGGGGGAGAGGAAGTTTTTGACAAAAATACATTTTTCTTTAGAAGGAATACTATTTTTAAGGGGTTTTGGGGGTTGGGGTTTTTTGTTTGTTTTTCTTTGTCAAAACATAAAGCAAGTTTTTTATTTCATCTCAATCTGTTTTAACCTAAATTCAGTGTCTGAGCTCAAGTTTCACCAGTCTTTTGTATGGGTTGTTTTGCAAATCTTTGATTATTTGAATGAAATCATTTCAGCTACTTGCCTCTCCTGCAGTCTGACTGCAGCCTTGTATTTGCTCAGCACTGCCAGCACTATTGACTTAGAAACACTTAGATCTCATGCTAAAGCAATTAAAACAATTGTTTATGGATATTCAGACTATACCAAAGCCACCAAGCAATTGTATGTAGATGGTACAACCACCACGAGAGATACTGTATGAAACAGCAAAAGGTCTTTTTCCACTTGTCCCAGACTGAATGACTACATTGTTTTATCTTACTTTTACGATGTCAGAGAGGATAAAGGAGGAATATTTTCATGGCTGATGTTCAATAGGCTTGACCCTTTTTATTACTGGCAGTTTAGAAAGGATGATAACTGTCAATTCATTGCTGGGTCCTTAGCCCATTAGCATATTATTTATCTGGAGTCTTCTTCTGGTGGAGCACAAGCATTTTTACAACAGAGCTAATACTGAAGCTGTCTAGGTGTTGCACTTTGTGAAAAGGTAAGTCATTCCCCACTGTTTAAAATCTTATTTTTCCTGAAAAACAGCTACCAGTTATGCATCACGCTGGAGTTGCTATTCTCTGTATTTCATGCAGAGAAAATAACTGCACAAAGACTTATTTTCTCTGTATTTGTCTCTCATTTGCTTTGCCTGGGTCTAGTTTCAGAGCCAAAAAAAAAAAAAAAAAAAAGGCATGAATTTGGTGTTTGTTGAAGGTAATACTGGGAAGATCTCTTAATACCTGAAAACATGACTGTAATCTAGTTCACAAAATGCAAGTTGTGCTACTTAATCTGTGGTTGCCTTGTGTTTCTAGAACTTAGATCTTTTACAAGCATAGACTGCTGACCCATCTCCAACCACAAGGGCCTTTTGTCTATTCATTAAGCTTTGATCAGTCCAGAAGCTAAAATGTTTATCAGTGTAGCTTTCACTGTCACTGCCTCAAAAATGCTAGATAGTGTTCTCACATTAGCTTTACAGCGTTAGTCCTTGCCCATGCCTATGGTAATTCCTGAACCACTGAAAAATTAACTGTTTCCTTGCTGCTTTCAGGCACATTTCTACTTGGTAACTCTTCCTTAAAATAAGAACTGAACCAAAGGGCAAGCCACGCTTCTGCACTTACAAGAAACAGATGCCACACAGCAGAGTACTGCAAAGAAGCAAGGGGAGTCTTGGGCACCTCACACCACTTTATAGCCAGCTACTTCCCCAGAAGGATCATGATGTTCACCAGAAAAAGGTCCATCAGCCTAGTAGCAGACAGTAATGATTTCTAGTTGCCCAGCATCCAGGTGGCCAAGAACTGACAACACATTCAGGAGTGTGAATGCAACGGCTCCTGCTCCTCTTTAAAAAATCCTGATCCACATTCTCTTTAGCTCTCTCTTACAGAGTTCACATTAATTTACTCCCTGCTCCCCTTCCCCCCAGATAGAGTCTACTCAGCCTCCTCTGCCCCTGAAAGAGATCAGGGGAAACGTGAATCAAAATAAATGAGATCCACAACCAGCTCCTGGTAACTCCACATCAACAGTAACTCCAACATCTAGAGAAAGGCAAAACAAAACTATGAGGCATTAGATTCAATTGTAATTTGGGTTTTGTTATGGCTGATTACAACAGACAGTACTGACTTCACTAGTGATGTCCTAGTATCACACAGAACTGGGTTTTTTTAACTATAAAAGGCAGTGTATTGTTTACAGGCCCAGTTTGTCCAAAATGAAGAGCTCATTTTGTCACATGCAGCTATGGTAGATGTTTTATAAAGTAACCTCCCAGCCTACATAAAAAATGGCATAGAGGAGTTTACACATCTGCATGTGGAGCACACGAAGAGTATGTTCATGTAAAACCATGCATTACAGTGTAAAAATATCTGAGCTAACAATAAACAGGTGCACCCGTCAATGCTGGTTTTGGGTGTTTTTTTCTGCTATCTAAGCTATCTTAGAAATCCTATCTAGCATGGTACAGTCAGAAACTCCTAAAGAACGCTGCCATAGCAAAATCCACTCTGTAGAATCTGTCTCCTACTGAAGCTAATTCCATATGATTTTTCATCTCTTGTGATCTCTACCGATTTCTGTGGTATCATTTGTCAGAACAGAAATTTTCAGTAGAAAAATCTAGTTCCTTATTTTGCTACATAGCTTTGGAATGCTTATTAAGTATACTGTAAAATATCTTACTTATGCAATAAAATGAGAATTGTATATGGAAAGTAAAATAAGGCAACATTACTATGCCCTCATACACACTTAGCTCTCAACACAATTATTTCAAACATCTTTAGCCTGTTTACAGTTTCTGCCTATATTAGAGCCAAGTTAACTGTTTATTTGTAATGATATTTCAGCAATGAAGGAAATGCAACAAACACCTCCAGGGGCTGAAAGGAGGTTTCATAGAGACCAATGTCCTTTAGAAGTGACAATATAAATAAAGTATGTTTGCACATACAAGGACAAAAGACATTACAAGTTGCTACATTACTAGCCATACCAGGAATTTCATGCTGTCTGACAAGCAAGACCATTTTTCTGGCGTTGGCTCACATAAACTTGTGGGTTGAAAGGACAGGTGAACCTGTTAAAACTTCCAGCTCTCCACTCCACTTCTTAAGCAGTGATGGGTTAACAGAAAATGAAAAAGTACCTGAAATGCTATAGTTTACAACCCAATGTGTAGAAGTAAACCAGCACTGTTTTCTATTTATTTAATACCCCGTGCTGTACACTGCTCCCAGTGACTCACCACCCCAGTACTGATACTAGAAACTGTGGGGCAGAGGTGGAATAGCTTTAGCTAGCTAATCTTAATACAGTGTAACAGGAATTTCAAAACCCTGTGATTTACGTATTTATCCGCCTAAACCCAAAACAGAATCTCCCTAGGTTATCTTTCCTTCAGGCCACCAATGCTTTTCACAGTTCTGTACATCAGTTTCTCTTACCTGTTGTTTGAGAGCCTCTAGAGATTCAAATTCCAATTTGGCTAGTTTTGTCTGGATATCTCGTGGTTTATCCGGAATTACAAATGTAATGGTAAACTTTATTGCCAATAGCAAGTGCTGGAAAAAAAGTAAAAAGAAAAATATTGTTCTGTAGAGTCTGAAGCATAGAGAGAACAGCATTATACTCTTTCCAAATTTTAGCAGTTGAGGTATAAACAATTATTTATGGCACGTACAACACAGTATACTATAATCACATGAAACCTCAGCTACTCCATGTTTTTTCTATTACAGTCACTCATAATTTGAATTTAAACACACGGTTTGGCTTATCTTCATAATAATTCTGTTTTCAGTATATACTATACATTTCTAATTTTATTTGTGATTCCAGATAAAATAATAGCTTTTAGAACATTTTACTTGTGCATAGAGTGGAATTATGGCACCAAGCACATATAGTTTCATAGTAAAATAGTTTCACAGTGGAATATATGTATGTGTATATATATACACACATGTAATTACATGCATGTAATCAGATGCAATTATAACAACATAGACACGCATACACATATACATGCATACACACATATACATTTGGCATGATACAAATGAAGTAAGCACATTGTAAAAAATATGAACAAACACGGAATTTCTGCATTAGAGAAGTTACTGAAACCTAAAAGCTCTCCTAAGAAAGCCAGAAGAGGACAAAATAAAATCTGATCTTTAAAGAAGTGGCACACTCATGAACAGAAACCTTCCAGGAAACAGAGAAATAGTGCAGGTGTAAGATGCGAAATTAGTCATAATTTATCACAAAAGATTAAAATCTTATTTAAGAGAAAATAAGCATAAAGTTCTGTTGAGCCTACTCACTGACCAGTCTTTGAATTTCACTTAAACATGCACCATTCCCCTCATCTCACCAAAACTAAGTGCCAAACTGACAAGTCACTGGTTTTATTTCTTCATTTATGTCAACTATAAGCATCACCTAAACAAGAGTTGTTAAACCTTATTCTATCAAGGTCTAAGCTATCAGTATGCTGCATGCTTGCAGGAAGAACCTGCTCCTAGCTGAGAAAACCCTGATCAATACAAGGCAACATTTAAATATATGTCACTAACTTAAAGGACGTGCTTAAATTCTACTGACACAACAATACTCACAGACATGTTTCAATTTAGATTGCATGTCCAAGCTAATCGAAATTTTCCTGATTTTTTAATAAAATGAAATGGATCAGTGCTCCTTTCTGAAATATATTTTGCTGGACTAAATGATCTTGATGCACTTGGGCACATGAGTAACTACATAAAAGACCAAAATCCCTGAGCTTCGGGAATTACATGAGCAAACAGGTAGCAAAAAAACTACAGGCTTCACATGAGTGCTAATGAAACTCTAAATAAGCCCATTTCAATACATAAAAGTTACAATAAGAAAACAGGTAACAGTAATAAATAAGAGAACAACAATAAAGAATCATACAGGTAACTATTTCTAAACATGTACTACAGAAAAATGGTTGGTAGGTCTAGGAAACAAACCATTAGTGCAATGAATAACACTCTGTTTGAAGAGGTCAAAGAAAGGCTGAAAGTTAATGCAACACTAATACATCATCAATGAAAACCTGAACACAGATTAAGAGGTTTATGATACAAATAGCATATGGGTCATATCACATCACTAAAAATTGTTTCAACAGTAGAACATTCTCCCACTTACACAACTATTTTTTCCCCACTCAATTCAAGTTTCTACTACTAAGGAACTTTCCTGGCAAAAAAAAAAATTATAGCAAAAAATGTTGGTTTATGCTAGAAATAGGTAAAAAACATCAGCTGAGTTATTAACTTCCCAAAAAGACTTTAAAGTACCTCCAAATCCAAACAATTTTTAAGAAAATAAAGTAAAATCATTTAAGGGAAACATAAATAATATTATGGAGAGCAGAGACTGACAAGGTTTTTGTCATTTTTTATAGGAGTGAGGAAGGAATAGAAGAGACATCTAGGGCAGCCAGAAATAAACCCAACAAAAATGCTGCAGTTAATCCTAGGAAACAGTGGTTTTCTAAAACAGATTTAGAAGGGCAGTTTCCACGCTGATGCCACTCATGGCCTATAAACACAAAGATACAGCCTTAAACACAAAGGCAGAACCTCCAATTCAAAAAGCCTTCAAGCCAGACAGGATTTGAAAGTTCAGAGTACAGATGAGGAAAGTCACTGCCTTTTCTTGCCCTACTGTTATCCTCTTACACAAGCACCCACTATGGAGCACTGGGTTAGGTAGACCTTGGGTTTATCTCTCAGAATGTCTTTTAATGTTCTTTTCCATCCCATCAAAACACAGCTTTATCAGTCATAAAGTGCTCAGAACTGTATGGGATGTCACTGTGCACAAACACTCTGCGACCTGAAAACACACTGAACTTGACAGATTGCAAATTCAGTTCAATTCTACCTCTAAGTTCCCAGTGAACCTAAAAAAAAAGGAAAATGTAAGAGCAACAGCCTTCCTTGGACAACTTCTCCAGCTGTTTCTATTTGCAAATTAGGAGTAATATTAATTAAACTGGGAAAGTAGCTGGCAGAAGTTATGAATGTGGGTTATATGGTTCACAAAGCCTCTTAAAAAGAAAATGTACCTAATTTTGTTAACAGTTTACACCACATTTTGGAATTGCCATTTGACTAAGGAAATATAAGTAGTTCTTCAAGAGAATCTGAAGGAAAAAGTATGGAGATAAGTAGTTGTATTCATTAAAACATCCATATTCCACACTGATTTGTTTTAGTATAATTCCTGCGATCCACGAAAAGGAGACATCTGCTTTCAGAAGTAGAAATGTCCTAAGAGTAGAGTATGAATCACCAGAAGAGACAGCAAAATTCTCTTTCATAAAGCTACGTTAACACTAGTATGTATGCATTCTAAAAAGAAAATATGAAAACTTATCCAAATTTCCAACACAACTAGTGCAAATGTATTTGTCCAGTACTAGAATTTGTTCATAGAGTTGGGTTTTGTTCCTGGGGTTTGTTTTTTTGGTTGGTTGGTTTAGGGTTTTTTGTTTTTTTTTTTGAGGGGGGAGAAAGGAGTGGGTTATTTTGCTCTTTTTTTTTTTTTTTGTTAAATCAGTTACAAACCCAACCACTATTTCTAACTGCAACTGTTAAAAAGCAGTGCTGTTTTCAAGGACATGCCCTTCACAATTACAAGAGGAATATTTCACTGCAAGAAAAACCTAGGATAACAGTCACACAAGCTGTAAGCTCTCCAATGCCAACAGCAAAGTCCCTTCCTATTCTGCAGTCTGCCAAGTGGGCACAGACAGAAACACCAGTGAGTCTCCCATTCTTGAAATATGCAGCGCCATCAAGCTCGTTGTGGTCTTTTGCCAGGTGCTTAGAGAGCCAGAACTATTCTGTTGTGCAAAGCCACCAACAGGAGTGGAAGCAGCAGCTGTGTTTTGCAGCAGTGGGTCCCCAACCTCATCTCTTCTAAAACAGAAAATGCAAATGAGGGTTAAATACCTGGAATTCTGAGCAGCTAATTTGATTTGTATAGCAGTTGTTCTGCAGCAATTCCTGTACAAATCTACTCAACTGAAAGAAAAAAACCCCAAAACAATGGTAAAGATAGAAAAAAAAGAACATAAGCAGTAGCTGTATTGCTGGTTAGCTGATAAAGTTAGGTGCCAAACAGCTTGGAGTGACTTTAATGAAATTTGTATCAAAAGTAGAATATAATATTTATAAAAACTTTCAATTAAAATCAGAAATCTGGACTTAATTCAGCCTAGAACCAGTGCATCCTATGACACGAGATGGCCACTGGTTACTAATTCTGCACAGGTAAGGAACCCAGCACAAAAGACAACACCTGACAATGGCGCATTGCTTTGAACCTCTGTTCTCTACTGGTATATGCAAAATGCCTTTGCAAATGTAAATGAAAATACCACTGCAAGACTGCTGCTGTAAGAGTAGAAAGCAGGGAGATTTGACAGAACTGGCAGATGAAATGGCTAAGCCACTGTCCATCATACCAAAGAAGTCATGGCAGTCTGGTCAAGTTCCCATTGACTGGAAAGGGGGAAACAGAGCCCCATTTTTAAAAGGGAAGAAAAGGAACTACAGGCCAGTCAGTCTCACTTTGGTGCTTGACAAAATCATGGAGCAGATCGAAACCATGTTAAGGCACATAAACAATAAGGGGGTGACTGGTGACAGCCAATGGCTTCATTAAGGGAAAATCATGTCTGACAAATTTGGTGGCCGCCTACAGTGGGGTTACAGCATTGGTGGATAAGGGAAGAGTGCCTGACATCATCTGCCTGGACCTGTGCAAGGCTTTTGACACTGCCCTGCAAGACATTCTTGTCCCTAAACTAAAGAGGCATGGATTTGATGGAAGTGCCACTTGGTGGGTAAGGAATTGGCTGGATGGTCACATTCAAACAGTTGTGGTCATCAGCCTAATGTCCAAGTGGAGACCAGGTCCCTTCCAACTCAAACTGTTCTATGATTCTATTACTACGCTTTTTCCTAGGGCCCCAGATCACAGTATTGTGACATTAAACCAAAACTCCAAACTAAAAAAAACTCATCCAGTAGGCAGAGTTTCAGCCTGTCCCATTAAAATGCGGCTGAGATAGATGAAACTAAACAGAAGCTTATTTCAAAATGTGTCAGAAAGCCATAAGCAGAGACGGCATTATCGATCCCTTTCTTCCTCTTAAATGATGAATACATGTATACACACACATACACATACACACACAGACAGAAACCCACAAAGGCTGTCCAAGGAAAACTGGTAGTGACATTTCCAACAGAACACCTTGCAGGTCATCAGACTAAATGCATTACATTTCCAGATATCTGCTTATTTCTCTTGTAACTACCTGGCTTTACATACAACTGTCTTATTATGCTTCCAAAGCTGATTCACAAGAACATTACTCCTATTGAAAAATCTGTTCACCTCACAACACCATTGTAAGAACTGTATCTGAATAAACACATTTTAAACAAAAATTAATATTTCACCACACTGCAAATACATCCTCATTGAACGATTCAAAGTTCTAGTGGAA